CTAACCTTCCCGGATAATATGTACTATAGTCTAAACTCCTCAAAAGGGGTTATATAGGGGATTATATAGGGAACTACTATAGGGGTTATTAAAGGGGGATACTAGGAGTTTAGACAATGGCTCATATGGTTCCAAATGTTGGAGCTTGGGGCGGTAGGTGTGGTGTAGGGGCCGAAGTGATTACACATACCTGGTCCTATACTCTGGTATAGGGTATCTCAAATCTGGGCAATGTAAAGCAACCTCAGCCTAAATGGTGGTTTATATAAGGAATAGTCCCAAGATGGCCTTAAACTGGGAACTGAAACTAGTCTAATAGACCTCAAAATGAGATTGCAAATTACCCTTGAGCGTCTGGCTCCATGAGCGTTTGCGAACACCGGACCCAAACCATGGGACGGTTAATCGTTTAGGGTTTAGGGTGATTTCTAACAAACTAATGAGGGAGATTCCAAAACTTGGGGGGTGCCTCTTTTGAGCGCTTCAAGATAAGAGCAATTGTATTTTCGGCTCTATAATAGGGAACCCCATATAAAGGAAACAGTAAGGGGTAAGTGTGGCCAGGTTTAAGTTTTGTTCGTTTCTGTGCAGCCAGGATTCTATTTTAAGCAGATGACGACGCCACACGGTTTAGTTTTAGGGGTTTAGGTTAGGTGGCCCACCGCCCACCGAAAGTGGCATGATTCGGTTATTCGAGGCCCTGGCATAGTTACCATTTTGCATCCACCCCTGCAGGTGTGTATTAGTGGGGGGGAGGAGGGGTTGTTGTTATCAAAGATCCGCGGTGACCTCTGTATGCTAATTTTAGTACCATGCTATCCGGGGCAATAGGGTACATAGGGCCAGGCAGGAGTCTTTGTAGGAACCTGACTTTCCATGAATTGTCATGTTCTTTTCCACTCTGAGCCCGAAACCCTTATTATCCAGGTACCCCAGTAGTTTCATTTTTCCCTTTTTATTTTGGAGCCTCCTTATCAAAAATGAAAAGTAGGAAAAAAGGGCACCCTTATCATTGAGGGGTTATTGGGGGACCAATTTATTGGGACAGTATCCCCAGACCTTTACGCCATATAGGTGTTTTAAACCTCGAGCCCTCAACCCTAAACCCCAAGCCTGAAACCTAAATGCCTAGACAGTGTATCAACCAGATCAACTGCAGGATTTAGGGTTTAGGCTTCAGGGTTCAGGGCTTAGGGTTTAGGGTTTAGAGGATTTCGGGTTCAGGGTTCATTGATTTGGGAGTTGGGGCTTGGGGGTTGTTTAGAGTTTAGGGTTTAGGGTTTAGGGTTTAGGATTTAGGGTTTAGGGTTTAGGGTTTAGGGTTTAGGGTTTAGAGTTTAGGGGTTTAGGGCTTGAGTCTGAGAGCATTACGCGCTCGAATCCTGCACCCTGAACTCACGATGTGAGTTCGGTTCATTACCAAAGCCTTTCTGGGACTAAACCCTAAATCCAAAACCCCTAAACCCTAAATCCAAAACCCCTAAACCCTAAATCCAAAACCCCTAAACCCTAAATCCTAAACCCCTAAACCCGATTTAAGTGTTAAGATTTCGGGGCTTCGGCTGCAAGGCTTCAAAGTTTGGGCTTTCAGTTTCTAGGCTCAGGTTGAAGGTTTAAGGTGGGTTTAGGGTTTAGAGTTTAGGGTTTTGGGGTTTAGGGGTGTAAGAATGTTACCCGCAAGAGTGCATATTCTAATGTCTAGGTTTAGGGTTTAGAATTGAATCCTTGCCTCCTGAACCCTGCTGTAATATGTCGACACCGCCAACTGGAGTAAGGCAGTTGTGCATTTGGATGAATACTTGTCCTTGTACGAATCTTAGCTGTACATGTATTAAGGAATCCTATCATCCCCTAACCCTATATCATACGCCCACAGCTCTAGACCCTAACCCCTACACAAACCCTCAACCTAAACGAGCCCTAAACCCTAAACCCTGTATAAACTGGAAAGCTTAGACATGCTTAGACAAAACCTACATCCTAAAGCCTAAACAAGCCGTACACCCTAAACCTAAACCCTAAACAATCTTAAACTCTGAACAAACCCATTGTTGAGAAGCCCCCCCCCCCCAGTAACAGTCTATAATAAGGGTCCTATGCAGGGCTATATATAACCATACCATAATGATTATCCAACTGTTACTGAGGGAGGGCAGTACCCAACCCATTGCTGAGAAGCCCCCCAGGTGTGCAAGGTGGAGTTTCAGACCACCAAGGGCATCCTCAAAATGAGGCACCAGGGTTTAGGGCCCTAACCCCCTCAACCCCTAAACCCTACATCCTAAATCCTAAACCCTTACTCCCTAAACCCTAAATCCTAAACCCAAAGCCCAGGATTAGCAGGACTGGCACCGGGCTCTGTTTTAGGGAGCGAAACTTGGATTTAGGATATAGGGTTTAGGATTTAGGGTTTAGGGCCCGCCCTAAGACCTAAGCCCCTCCGAATTTGGGGCTTCTGTTGGAGGACTGCCGGGGTATGGGCTGAGGGATAAGCCCTGAAGCCGCATCTGAACCCCCATAGGGTTTTGGGTTTGGGTTCAGGTTCAGGGTTTAGGGTTGACTTATGGGTTCCAGTACCCCCAATTTGCAAACTTTAAGCCCTAAACTTCCTGCATGAACCTTGGAAACTCTGGAATTATCGTATACTGAGGTGATGCAGGATTTCTAGTATCAACCCCTCAATATAAGCCCCTAAAACATCCGTAAGCCCGAAACCAGTAGCAAAACAAACCAAGGCTGATAAGATGTGAGCTGTAGTCTAAACTCCTTAAAGAGGGCTATAGGGGACTATTATATGGGGCGATTAAGGGGATACTAGGAGTTTAGGCTAGGGCGCATGTTTGTGCCAAGGTTCTTTGGCGTTCTGAAAGGTTTATAGGGCCTGGTTTTTTGCGCGGCTTACCGTTGAGGGAGAGGATAGCAAGGTATAGGACGAACCTGTGCGCAGGAATCCTTTCATGAAGCTTTGAAAGTTTAGACTCAGCAGTGTTAGCATCTAGGTCTCAGGGTTTAGGAAGCATGGTTTCGGGTTTAGGATTCAGGGTTTAGGATTTAGGGTTGGGTTTTCATGGATGTAGCGGCTGAGAAGGTTCAAGGCTCGTCCTTGATTAGTAGCAATTTAGCTTAGTACAGAAGAAGATATGAAACCCTAAGCCTTACACCCTACATCTCAAATAGTCAGACAGCAAAAGGTCTGGGCGGAGCTTGCTTGGCAAGCTTGGCGTAGCTCGTTTGACCTCTGTCTTGCAAAGACCGCGCTTTAGGGCTTGGTATTTGGTTTGCCAGGTTTAGGGTTAAACCATCCAAACACCTCCAAGTTCTACGCGATGCGCACTGGAAATCGACCATTCGACATTCCAATCCAAGTCGCATCGGACATTACTGTGGTTAAAGCCCTAAGCCCTAAACTAAGTAGGAAGTTCTCACAACAACCTACCCTAAACCCAAAACCCTAAACCCACCTCTCTAGAGTCCCGAAAAGAGGATCCCCTCGTCCATATAGCCCTGAGGTCCCTGCCCCCTCCCCCTTCAACAAATCCTCAAGTCATGAATCGTAAACGGTTTAGGGTTTAGAGTTTCAGGGTCTAGGGCCACATACCCTAAATCCTAAACCCCAAAAGATTAAGACCCTAAAGTCCAAGCCCTCAAAATCAGCAACCCCAATCCTAAAGCCTCAAACCCTTCAACCCTTAAACCCTCAAACCCAAAGTCCTTTTGAGCTCTTATCATGGTCAGGGCATGGTGCCTTAATTCCTGGGACAAAAGCCTCAAACGCTGAACCCCAGATGATGCAGGGTCTAGGATACCTTAAAACAACTTTTCAAGCCCTTGAACCCCTAACGCCTCTGCGGACCCTCAAACCCGAACCCTATATCTGGATCAATGTTTGGGGAGTCTTTATACTTTTTGGGGTATGGGATCCCTTATTTATGTAAAAAGAATCCCTTTTTCTTCCTAGGGTAATGTGGGCTAAGATATGAGCTTTCGTCCAAACTCCTCACAGGGGGTTATGGAGAGGATTGTATAGAGGAATATACATACTCCAAGGGTTATTGAGGGGGATACTGGGAGTTTAGACTATGGCTCATATAAACCTAGAAGCACGGATCCCAATGGGCAGGGTCGTGCCTATATGGGCGCCAAAAGGCGCCCAGAGATTCCTACAGCTGGTCACAGACAAGTGCCCCACGAATTTTTCCAGGCTGTACTTGAGGTTTAGGGTTTAAGGGCTTGGGGGTTGAGAGTTGAGGGTTAAGGAATGAGGGCTGTTTAATGGGCTTAGAAGGGGTTTATAGGGTTTTAGCCTTATAGGGCTTGTGACTGCTGGAAGTTCTATGTTGGATTTTGGTTGAGGGGTAAAGCTTTAGGCTTGGGCTCTGCGAGGCTGCAACCTAATCCCTCCCTAACAAGACGCCGCCGCCGCCCTATCAATAGATATTCCCCTAGTACATGATCGTATTATATTGGGAGTATTCCGTATTTAAGGGGTCGGTGAGGTGTTTACGACTTAGGGTAGACCCTAAACCCTAAGCCTAAACCACGTGATTGCATATCGTACGCCTCTGAGTGAGACTTGGGACCAGGCTTGCAGTTTCTTGAAGTCACCAAGGTGATTTTAGTTGGGGAGCTGGGTTTACGCTTTAAGCTTTTCGGTTTGAGGATTTAGGGTTCCGGTTT